ATCCTCATTCAAAGTAGGAGCATTCTCACGGAGAAAATGAGCCAGGTTTAGAGTTGTAAGATAGAACAACATTTTCTGTTGCCATCTTTTAAAATCAGTTATTAAGAACTTCTCTGGCTTCTTACCGTGATTGACTAGCACAGTCATAACAGGTGGAGGGGTTGGCGCAATTATAGCCACCATACTCGTACTTGTTTGAGTATTAATTTGACTAGTTTCAGTAGCCATGAATTCTAAATTATAAAACAAAGTTATAATTAGAATTTTATACTATATAGAAAATTTAAACAAAAACCAACGAATTAAATTTTGTAAAATAAAAGAAACAACAATTGTAACTTTTATTTTCAATTAATTTGGAAATAAAATAAAATTTTATTTAACCAAATTAATTTCACACAAAAAATTAAATTTCTGTAACACTTCAATAATTAAAATACTGAAACGGAATTTTAATTAATGAACACTCAGAAATAATTTCTGAAAACCAAAATTAATTTTTGACAAAATTTCACAAATAAATATTCTGAATTGTTAATGACACCAGTATATTACTACTAGTTGTCAAAGAAAATAGACAGTATATTACTACTATCTGTCAAACAGTATATCTCGATTATTTGTATTCCAACCAGAATATTATTTTGTAAAATCACAGAAAATAATTTCTGTAAGAAAAAGAAAGAAGAAAGGAAACACACGAAAAATTCTGTATAAATAGAATAATTCGAGTCTGTCTTAAGATTGTTGGAACAATCTTCTGTATAGAATAAATAATTTGAAACAAATCAAACAAATAAAAAATAAATTATGTACCGAATTTATTTTACCGAACCACATGCATAATAAAAGGTCAAGTCGAGTGTGTAACACTCTGTCCTTAAGACATATTTGCCCCGCTACGGTACCTATGGAAAAAAGGCGTCTATCTCCCGGAATACAATAATCTTCACAAATTGTAGTAGCACTCAAAACAATTTATAAGGCGAACAAAACCTTGTGTTTTATACTCTCTTTAATTTTCTTAAAAAACTAATATGAAGAGAATTTATGCAAAAGAGCAAAATGGACTGCAAAAATAAATTTTCAGATTGTTTTTTGGATGCACAAACTACTGGAATAGGGTTGGTATTTATAGGCATACAAACAGACCCGAACAGGTACATATAAGAAGTGAACAGATACTGTTTGAATTTGTTGGACAGTTTGATTTGTTCGAACTGTACAGATTCAAATCTGTGTAATTGTAGCAGTTTTCTGTGTAACTGCAACAGTTTCTAACAGTTTTAAAACTGTAAAACAGTTTGAATAGACCTGATCCGACCTACAATTGGACGAATGGCGACTGCGGCGCGCGCGCGTGGTGCTTTGAGCTAAGGTTCCATCTGTCTATAACTCTTCTCTTCTACAAACTTGGGGTGCCCCTTGGGGCCCAACCCAAGTGTTGCCACCTAGAGTTTTTATACATACACAAACTCTCTTAAAGTTTCAATGTGAGATAAGTCTTAGAAGGAAACCCACATTTAATTTTTTAATTGTCCATTCCACGAATCCGAAAACGACGTCAAGTTCCCATTCATTCATAACTAGTTTTGACGAATCGTTTTCACCGTGTGACTTGCCACGCGACAAAGAACACGTCACCTCTCGGATTCATTCCAAAAGACGTGTCAACCCCCACTCAATTTTGAACTCAAAGATAACCCAAAATAAGTCTATATAAAACCAATTTCCGATAGATACTCTAGAGGATCTTAATGCTATGGCTACGGTGAGGAAAAAAAGTAATAAAAGGATAATATCACACCAATTCAGATGATATTATGACAAGTCCTGTCATATATATGTGAGGTTAGATAGTAACAATTCTGCATTAAGGGATCCACCTTCTTGTGTGTAATTTTATTATTAATCATGACGTTATTGTTATATTAAATTTTTGTCGGTCGTGGTTAGAATCTTTGGACTTGTAACTTACATCTTAGAGAGATTACTGGTGATTTTAGAGTAATATTTCACAACATTAATCTTATGACACTAGTTAATGTTGTCTTCTAAAAACAAATACAAAAGTATTAAATCTTAATATTTTAACTAATAAAGATCAATTTAAAATTTCATAAACTTGCACCAAGAGCACCAAATAATTTTCCCACCCCAAAACAAAAAGCACATGGAGACTATTAATGCTGTGTTTGGTTGAGGGATTTGGGGAGAGATTTAGAAAGGGAAATGGAAAAGGTAGGTGAAATGTGAATAAAACATGCCTATATTTCACACACCTTTTCCCTTTCCCTTTTCAAATTCATTCCCAAATTTCTCAACCAAACACAACATAAATCTTATAGCAATTTTTTTTCCTCTGTGAGAATGAGTGTTAGGATGTTTGGTTCAACCTTTCTTCTAATTTATTAAATAGAAGTAATTTAAATAAATTAAAAACATATGATTTTTAGAAGTTGAGAAAGGAATGTTTTTGATTTTTATTTTTGGCATAGCTTGTTGTAAGTTAAAAATTAATAATCTAAAAGAAAAAGTTAAAAACATCTCACATTTAATTTTTAAAAATTAATTAAATTATTTTTACTGAATAAATAAACAATATATATATATATATATATTGTGTCAATTTCTGTTTTTTCAATTTTCCATAACCAAAAAAAAAAAAAAAAAACACTTAAAACAGGTATACCAAACAACCCGTTTGATGAAGCCGAAGTTACCAGCCTAACCCCAGTGCCACTTGCTGTCAACTATCAAAGTGGGTGTTTAGGAAGTTGTTATTTTAGTAAGTTATTTTAATTTTTTTATTATTTTAGTAGGTTAAATTTTTTGTGTTTGGGAAGATAATTAATTTTTTTTTATAATTAGATGTGATATTTGCAAGAGAAAAAGTGAAATAATTGTAAATTTGATGTAACATTTTATTTTATTAATTATTTTAGTCTAGTTTATCTTTTTATAATTTTTTTTTAAAAAAAAAAAAAAAAACTAAAATGTAACTTGCCAAACAAGGCCAAAGTACAGCCGCACATACAATCAGATCATCGGACCCCTTCACGGAGACAAGTTGTTTGGTGATAGTGAGGTACGATTATATGGTGTTTTACGTGAGTTGTAATTTGTGAAAATGATAAGTTTATGAGTTTGTATTGAGTAATTAAAGAATAGAAAGAAATATAGTGAATTATGAATGGTTAGGAGTTTATGAGTTTGTATTGAGTAATTAAAGAATAGAAAGAAATATAGTGAATTATGAATGGTTAGGAGTAAAATCATGTAGTACATTCAGACCATCATATAATTTGGGTATGACTTCTGTCTAGTTTGGAATCAGATTGAATTGTGTTGTTGAGTTCGTGGGGGCTCACCACGGGTCCCGCTTTGATAATCTGAACCGTTCAATATGTAGAACTTGTCGAGTACTATATGCCTGTAAAAAATCACGTTGATCGGATATCGATAGCTATATGATCAAATCAGTTTCGTATTAAAAAAATTGGACGGTGAACAAATTAATAGCTGACAAAAAACTATTTTGATCACATAGCTATCGATATCCGATCAATGTGATTTTTTACAGACACATAGTACTCAACGAGTTCTACACATTAAACGGTTTAGATTATCAAAATGGGACCCGTGATGACCCCCACAGATTCAACAGCACGGTCTAATCCGATCCCAAATTAGACAAAACCATACCCATATAATTTTTCCATCACAAGCCTCTAGCATATCAATAATGCTACGCTCATATAGGTTGAAACACAAAATTTATAGGCCTCGCTTTTTTGGGGTTATAGGAGGGATTGTGATTATTAATCTTTTGATATTATTAATGGGGTATTTATTTTGAGAGATGGGGACGAGACTATTATCCCTTGGTATTAGTAGTGCTCTTGGAAGGAGGATTGATATGGAAGATGTAGAGATAGCATTAAAAAAATAGTGAAAGGATTAAATTTTTTTTTATTTTTTATATATTGAGAATTTTTTTTAAATATAATATTTAATTTTTTTATTATTTTATAAAAAAATAATTTAATAATTTTTTATTATCAATCCTTTTACTATCAATCCCTACTATTCTGTCTTTCAAAATAAGCAAGAGCATAGAGTCAAAGATTGATCAGACGATAAGATAATAACTGCGATTGATAAAATGATAGTCACGATCCACACAAGATGACGGCTACAGTTAACTAGATGAGATGGTTGACTGGCCTATAATTCGGTTCTTCGTGTTTGGCATATTGGATTTAGATTTAAATAATCATAAAAAATAAAATAAATTAAAAATTTAATAAAATAAAATATATAATTATTTAATTTTTTTTACAAAAATAAAAAAATACATTCTAAATGAGACTTTTTAGCCTTGTTTGATTTGGCTTTGGAAAAAAGATTTTGAAGAAAATTTTTAGAAATTTTGTTTAGTTTGTAATTTTTCTCAAAATTTTTTTAAAATTACTTTCTCTCTTCTATATATTAATTAATCATTTTTTCTCTTTCTTTTCTCATTTTCAATCACTTTTTCTCTCACATACATCTACTAAATTACAATAAAATATCAAATCATCATAAACTTCCAAACTCCAAAACATTTTCAAAATATACAACTAAACAAATTACAAAAATTTTTAAACTCTCTTCTCAAAATATTTTTCAAAAATTTATCTCTCAAAATCAAACCAAACAAAATCTTTAACTCTAAATTAAAATAACCAAAAATTTAAAAAATTAGAAACCCAACTCACACCCTAAACGATGGCTTTGATGTGTGCGTAGCATTACTGCGCATATTCCTCTCTTCAGAATATTCCGCCACGTCACCCTCTCCTAAATCTCCGCAACCCAGGAACCTCATCCACCGTGTCATCCACGTGTCTCCCGCCATCCCATAAAAAATGACACCACTCAGTTTATTATTACAAATAAATAAAATATAAAAATATATGCCTATTATAATAATATAATATATATGTAAAGCAAAATCTTAGCCGCTAGATTATCAGCCCCCTCTCCACACGTTCTCGCTCTTTCTCGAGTTGTTCTTCACAGGACAAGCACAGTCGAGAGGTTTCGAAGCGGTCTCTCTCTCTATATCTCCACCAATCTCTCTCCATCTATCTCTACACATAGAAAACTCCAATTTTGAAACCCTAATTTCGAATTCAGAATCTTCAATGATCAATCTGAAGCCGCCGGAGGCTCGGGCGTCGTCGTCGTCGTCGGTGCCGCCGGTGACGGCGGAGAAGGCGTTCTCGTTCATATCGCGAGGTTGGAGAGAAGTCAAGGACTCTGCGGACGCCGATCTCCAGTTGATGAAAGACAGAGCCAATTCCTTCAAAAACTTGGCTTCGTCTTTCGATCGAGAGCTCGAGAACTTCCTCAATTCAGCCTCCAGATCAAAGTTCTCTGTGCCTTCTATCAGGTCTTCGCCTCCGGCTGAAATCGATTTCGTGAAGCGATTGCAGCCGAAATTGTCCGAAATTCGAAGGGCGTACTCGTCCCCCGATTTCAGCCGCAAGGTTCTGGAGAAATGGAGACCTAGGGCTAGAATTCGCATAGACTTGTCGGCGATTAAGAACGCGATTGTGTCGGAGGTGGAGGATGGGGGTGATTTTGATGAGAGAGAGAGGTATCGGAGGGGGAGGATTGTGAGGTTTAAGGACTTTAGGTGGGACTGGCCGGGAGATGGAGGGAGCGAGGAAAGTCAGTTTCGGGATTGGGAGCCAATCAGGGCATTCAAGACACGGTTGCGAGAGTTCGAGCAGAAGAGTTCATCTTCGGAGATTTTCGAGAGTTTGAAGAACAGTGAGTTTGTGGTGAAAGTGAAGTCAAGCTTGGCAAGTTTTATTTATTTATTTTTTTAATTGCTTTGTGGGTTTATCTTCTTTGTTTGGCTCTTACATTGCACATGTTTGTTTACTGTATGTTAGTTTTTGACTTTGAATCACTGCCTTGTTTATTATTTGTTGGAAAGTTTTGATTTTTCTCATGTTTCATGAATAAATTGTTTCATAAATATTGGTGGAGCTTTTAAGAATTCTATATGTCTTCTTCTGTCATAACATTTGAGTGGAATGGTTTGGTATTTGTAAAAGAGGAACTAGCTGCTAAATTTCTAGTCATCAGCAATTAAGTTCTCGTGTTGTGATAGTATATCAGGAAATATCAAAAGGAAGCCGTTTCAGTTTTTTTGTCTCATTGATTTGGCTTTTGGGTTTAGGTTCCTTCCTTGTTTTTCATTGATGTTATATTTTTAAAGATTATGATAATTTGATGCTGCAAATTTAACTTTTGTCATGCTGTTTTCATTTGCATTCGCTATTTGTCATTTTCGACACTGGCACATTCCAGAACTGATCCTACTTATGAAGTAAATGGATTTCTCTTGATGTTAAATTTTATATTTTTGGAATTTTTTTTGTATATATAGAGTGTTATCCTTGATTTCTTCACGTTGTGGTTGAGTAATAATCTTAGCTAAGTAGCTTAAGCTACCATATCTGTATAGGGAGATTTTTGAATTGTAAAGAAACTTGAAATTCACTCAAATGAAGAAATGTTGGGACTGTCTTTCAAGTTTTTGGTTGAAGGCAGCAAAACCTCTATGAGTTGTTTTCCTGTTGCGACATTGGAATTGGATATAGGAGAAGCAGTGGCTTGATAGTAGTGGGTTAACAACCTCTGATTGCAATTGTTAAATCAAAAGATTGACATGCAGCACGGATATGGCACAACATGAATATGATGAATAATGATGTGGAAAATCTAAAATAAGGGGAAAAGAAGAAGAGGAGATAAATCTTCTGAGAGAGGGGAAACAGAGAATACTAAAATCCTAAATCAATTATGCCAAAACAAAATGTAACATTTTTTCCTACACAATCTATCTACATATAAATACTCATTGTCTAATAAGGAAACATAGAAAAAAAAGAAAAAGAAGAAATAAATTGAATAAGGAAACAAAATGGTCATATAACTTAAATTGCTAAACTCTCCTCCTTTGCCAACAAAAAAAAAAAAAAAAAAAAAAATTGTGAAATCCTTTGCCCCCATCAGAAATGAGTGGGAGAAGTTCACAAATGCACTAGCTTTGTGATGGTAAGTGGTTGAAAGTTGAGATTTTGGCAAAGCTTCAGAACTTAAAGGATGCTTATCCTGATATTTTTGGAAATGTAAGATGCATTGTTGGTTGATAATATGAGATTTGCTAATGAAGTAATTCCTAACCCCTTGGAAAAACTTGGCTTCCCTCATAACTTGTGTAGACGGCTTCTCTATTGGAAATTTTGACTATTGAAAACTTGCACGGGAGGGGAGAATCTCTTCCCATTTGGTACCTGCCTGTGCAAGGCGATGAAAAGGTCAATCAAGAACTAGAGAGAGAGGAACTTAGAGAGAGATATTAGAGAGAAATTCTCAATTCAATTCAATTCAATTCAATATATCCAAGTTAGTTACAAATGATGTGATACTCATCTATTTATAGGATACACTATCTAACATATGCTATGCACATAACACTACATCATACTCCCCCTCTTAAGAAAAGACTTGTCCTCAAGTGAAGACAACAAAATACAACCAATACTAGAAATGAAAGACACAAAAACACAAAGTACAAGATGACAACTTTTCAAGGAACTAGTCTATAAAGGTAGAGGTATCATCAATGGAAGAGGCATCCGGAAAGTAGTGTACAAGGTGTTGGACGTTAAAGGTATTGGAGATGCCCAGATGAGCGGGAGCTTGACTTTATAAGCATTGTCGTTAATCTTGCTCAACACCTCGCAAGGTCCCACCTTCTTGTCACTCAACTTAGTGTAGGTGCCATGGGGATATCTCTTTTTGCTCAATACCACCTACACAAAATCCCTGCTTCAAACACCACTCTTCGCCTATGCACATCACCGGCCGCCTTATACTTCGCATTAGACCTTTCAATTTGGGCCCTCATTTGAGAATGAATGTTTTTCATAAATGTGGCCATTTCCTCCGCCTTAACGCTTCCTCTCCTTGAGAGTGGCAAAGGCACCAAATCCACCACACTTAAAGGGAGAAGTATTTATGGTGCGGTTGATAGATGAATTGTAAGCAAATTTAGCCAAGGAAGGATGCCATCCCAACTCTTGGGGTGATCCCTTATAAGGCACCGCAACAAGTTACCAAGGTAACGGTTCACGACTTCTGTTTGACCATCGGTTTGTAGATGGAATGTAGTACTAAAACTCAAGTCTGTGTCAATTTTCCTTCACAAAGTTCTCCAAAAGTGAGCAAGGAACTTAGCATCTCTATCGGACACAATAGAAGTAGGCACCTCATGCAACTTGTAAACTTCCTTGAAGAAAAGATTAGCAATGTTTGTAGCATCCATGATCTTCTTGCAAGGTATGAAATGTGCCATCTTGGAGAAACGGTCCACCACTACCATGATAGAATCACTCCGCCTTTGAGTAGGAGGGAGGCTCAACACAAAATCCATACTAATGCACCGCCAAGGAGCATTCGACACTGGTAAAGGTAGATATAGCCCCGCATTAGTGGCAGTTCCCTTGCTCTTTTGACAAATTTGACAACGCTTCACATGACTTTGCACATCCTTGGTCATGCCCGACCAATAATAAGCATCTTGAAACAACCGAAGGGTCTTGCCCTTACCAAAATATCCTATCTTATGATGCTCAACCAACAAATGTGCCCTTAAGGAACAACTAGGAATAGATAACTTAAGGCTATGGAAGAGGAATCCATCCCTTATCATGTAACTTCGATAAGCCGTCCTATCCCCCCTTTGCAAAGCATCAAAGATCTTGGAAAAGTAAGGATCACACTTGCATAGAATGCGCGAAATTCATCAAAATCCACAACTTCATTTTTCATTTCAATCAAGAGAGCCCTTCGCCTATTCAACCCATCGGCCACTTTATTAAGAACCCCCGATTTGCGGCGCAAAGAGAATGTGAATTGTTGCAAGTAAGCCACCCATTTGGCATGGCGCTTGTTAAGATGGGATTGACTGTTGATGTACTTGAGAGCTTCATGATCGGCGTTGAGCACAAACTCTTTGTATGCAAGATAATAGCTCTAATGCTTGATGGCTTGGATAATGGCATAAAATTCCAAGTCATAAGTGGAATACTTGAGCTTAGCCCTATTTAAATTTTCACTAAAGAAAGCAATGGGTTGCCCTTCTTGGCTAAGAACGCCTCCAATACCCAATCCCGATGCATCACAATCAAGTTCAAAGGTCTTGTCAAAATCCAGTAATGCCAAAATTGGAGCCTCGGTAAGCAACTTCTTCAAAAGATGCAAGCTATCGGCGGCTTCCTTGCTCCACTCAAAAGCTTGAAGCTTGAGAATGTTGATCAAAGGGGCAGCGATGCTACTAAAGTTATGAATAAATTGCCTATAGAAAGTAGCCAAACCATGAAAACTCCATACTTTTTGGATACTAGAAGGAGTGGGCCATTCCATAATTGCTTTGACCTTCTCCACATCCATAAGCACCCCACGAGAAGACACAACATATCCCAAGAAGATGACTTGGTCTACGGCAAAGGTGCACTTCTTAGGCCCCGTTTGGGGACTTACCTTTTTAGCCAAAAAGCCAAAAAGTTACCCGTTTAGCCAAAAAGCCAACAACTCATACCAAAAAGTCAAAGATTCTCTTTTCTCTCTACTTTTTGCACATCTTTTCGTAATTAGCCAAAAAGTCATCCCAAACATATAAGTTTTTTTTACCTATTTTTTTAGCCAAATAGCCAAAAAGTTACTAAATTAGCCTGTTCCCAAACGAGGCCTTAGTGTTGCCATAGAACTTGTCTCGCCTCAAAAGCTCAAAGACTTGCCGAGGGTGGCACAAATGCTCTTCCAAATTTCGACTATAGATCAATATATCATCAAAGTAGACCATGACACACACTCCCAAAAATGGTTGCAACATTTGTGTCATCACTCTCATAAAAGTATTCGGAGTATTGGTAAGCCCAAATGGCATCACAAGCCACTCAAATAGGCCATGAGGCATTTTAAAGGCCGTTTTCCACTCATCATCGGGCTTGATGCGGATTTGATGATACCCGCTTCTAATATCAATCTTAGAAAAACACTTTTGATCTAGCAAGGCAATCCAACATATCATCTAATCTTGGAATTGGAGGTACTTGATTGTAATCTTGTTGATTGCACGGCTATCCACACACATATGCCAAGAGCCATCCTTCTTGGGTGTCAAAAGCACTGGAACATCACAAGGGCTAAGGCTAGGCCGGATATACCCTTTTGCCAAAAGCTCTTCTACTTGCCGTTGCAACTCTTCTTTCTCCTTTGGAGACATGCGATAGGCCGGGTTGTTTGGAAGCGCCGACTCGGGAACCAAATTAATACGATGTTGAATGTCACGCATAGAAGGCAAATTGGGAGGAAGCTCTTGGGGAAAGACATCGAAATATTCTTCCAAAAGAGTGGCCACCTCAATTTTTTCTTTAGAAGCACCCGTGTGTACAACCGGAACCAACACCAATACAATCCCAAAATCCCGGCTTTCTTCCACAAACTCCTTGAAAGGAAGCAACGTAGTGGCACTAGGAGATGACTTGGAAACATCCTTGGAAGTAACCTTTTCTTTCATTGGAAGCAAGGCAAACCGGATATCATTTTTGACAATAGTGTAGGTGTTTCGTTTGCCATCATACAAAGATTGCCGGTCATATTGCCAAGGTCGCCCAAGTAGAATGTGACAAGCATCCATAGGCACTATATCACACCATGCCTCATCAAAGTATTTTTGTCGGATAGAAAATGAAACCAAGCACCGTTTGGTAACCTTGATCTCATTGTCTTTCTTGAACCAAGATAGAGTATAAGGATGGGGATGTTCCTTCACCGGAAGATTGAGTTTGTCCACCATTTCTTGAGAAACTACGTTCTCAACAACGTCCACTATCAATGATCATGTTACAAACACGGCCACCAATGTTGCAAGTGGAATAAAAGATATTGGTACGCAACCAATCTTCTAGGCTCTCTAGTTTTGGTGAGAGAAGAGTCTTCTTCAACATAAGAGCAAGACCCTCTTCTTCATCACTATCTCCACCAATTGCCACATTACCCGAAGGATCAAAGATTGGAGCATCTTCAAAGTTACCATGCTCCTCAACTTCTTCAATGAGAAGTGCCTTGTTCCGGTTATTACCTATGTTCTTGCGGCAATCGGAAGATTTATGCCCCGGTTCACCACACCTAAAGCATTTGAAGGTTCCACCTTGTGGTGGATTTTGGTTTCCGAAAACACCATTAGGACGAGGAGCTTGAGAGCAGGAAGCACCCTTATCCACAAACTTGGAAGAAGGAATAGCTTTGGCAAAACTAGAAGTGGAAGGACCCGGTCTAAAACCATCTCGAAACCCTCCTTGAAAGTATTGTCCCATTGGGGGAGCACGGCAGCTTTGTTGCTTCTCCACGACTAAGGCCCGATTATAAGCTTTGAAAACACTATACAATGTGTGTAAGGCAAGAACATCTTGGATGAGAGATTTCAAGCCGCTCACATAGCGGGCCATCCGTTGCTCCTCACTTTCACTTAAGTCAACCCATGCAATGAGGTGATAAAAGGCTTCTATGTATTCATTCACACTACCATCTTGCTTGAGAACATGAAGGTGTTGATAAACACTTTGGAGGTAGTTGAATGGTAGAAAATGGCCCTTTAACTTCTTTTTCATTTTCTCTTAATCATGGATTTTCTCCTTTCCACATTGGCGGCGGTTGAGTTAAAGTTGTTCCCACTAAGTAGAAGCTCTCCCCTTCAACCGAATAGCCACAAGCTTAACTTTCTTTTCAACGGAGACCTCTCCATAGTCAAAGATTCGCTCAATGGTGTTGAGCCAATCGACGAACTCATCGGGATTGAGGCTTCCATGAAATTTGGGAAGTTCAATCTTGATATTGTTCTCCCATTTGTGTTCCATCCTACCCACATCCGTTCGACGCCGTCATGGGGCTCAAAAGATATTATCAAAAGAATGATGAGTACCACCTTCGGTTTCATTGGAATCATTACTACCCTCGGTAGGAGGTAGGAGATGTTGCACCGTTTCGGTTAACGCGGCAATTTACCACCTCATCTCGGCCATCTCATCTCTTGGATACGGAATCCCATTACCTCCATCATGATCACCCAAATCCGGGACAAAGCCCTACCACGACCACCCCTACGACCTCGACCTCGTTGAGACATTGAACAATTCCCAAGAATATGTAGAATCACAGTAATCTCACCCAGTTGAATATTGATAAAAAAAAACAGTGCACCAATATACAATCATAGCACAGTGAACAGATAATGTTACAACAGAGGCAAGACCCAAAATATTGAAGACAAGAATTGAACTCAGATTGATGCATACAGATTTACAGAATTTGAGACTTGATATAACATAGGAAATTCAACACAGATGGATTAAAGACTTCAAGAATCACTTACCCATATGTTGATTTCAGTCAAACGAGTCCAGAACAACTTCAAAGAACAGCCCAAGTCACGATGAGTAGTCGAGAATATAGACTTCGATCCAGGTACGCAAGTCAGATGGTGATCATCTAATGAGTTGCGAACTCAGTTTCAAATCGTGATTTCGGTTGGTGAAATCATAACAACAGTGAAGTTGAGCGAACGAATTCAACACTGAATCAAGAGGAAACTTCGCGAATCTCAACGTCAATTGAAACTGAATTTGATTTAGAATCTGCTAAATCCAGAGCAACCACGAACAACTGGAATTGTGAAATCAAGATTCAACTCACAATCAAGTTCACAAGACCAAGAATCACTCACAATCAACAACCAGTTCGCGAAATCAACTCTAGGGCGCGTTCTCGAATCTCGAATCTGAACCAGGTCGCGAATATCCAGATGATTATGAACCTAGATCAGGTGCTAAGTTCTTTAGGTGCTAAGTTCTTTCTAGTAATGCGAGATGGGGGCAAGTTCTTGAGACTCTGATACCAAAATGATGAAAGGGTCAATCAAGAACTAGAGAGAGAGGAACTTAGAGAGAGATATTAGAGAGAAATTCTCAATTCAATTCAATATATCTAAGTTAGTTACGAATGATGTGATACTCTTCTATTTATAGGATACAGTATCTAACACATGCTATGACACTACATCACAAGGCCAACAAGGAGGCTGTCAATCGTTTATTTTTCTATTCTACAGCGATGCAGGAGCTGCGGTGCCTTTTGTTTTGCCTCTGTCAGATGGCATGTTTTATGCCAAAGTTTGTGTTAAGAGTTGTTGGACTCCAGTTGCTGGTCTAGAGTGAGCAAGTGAGGATGCAGTTTAAGAAGTGTGTCCTTAATGCCTCTTTTGTTGTCTATGGAAGGAGAGGTATTGGACTTCATTTCAAGGAGTGAGGTGTTTGTGACCATGGAAGCATTTTTTCCCTTCTTTTAAGCAGTTTATTTGTGTGGCCTATAGGGGTTTGTTGCAATCATTGGACTTTTTTGGTTAATTCTAAAGATATTTTTTGTGAGTCATTTTTGCTTCTCTGCATGTACTTCGGTTTGCACCCTGTTGAAGCTCTTTTGGATTTTTCTTATTTACAAAATTATGTATATTTTTTGTTGGCTCCTCATGAGACTCATTGCCTTTTACAATTTTCAATAAAAAATGATCTTCTTAAAGTTGTAGATTGTTGTTTATTCTTCCATCCTTGGTCCATGCAAGTTAATACGGGACATTGGGATGTAAATCACCTAAGTATGCATCTCTAAAAGTTCCCAACATGGTTTATTCAACAGGGAATGATCTCACAAGGTTGGATCTTCCTGTTTAAATTAAACTACGTAAAAATGTTTTTACTTCTCTTGTCACCCTGTTCAAACTGCGTAAAAATGTTTTTACTACTCTTATCACCCCTTTCGTTTTTGAGAGACGCGAGTAGTTGTTTTCTGAAAGTCAACATTGCAGATCCATTATCATTTGAATTGAGATTTTTGGCATGGCAGTAAATGCAGTAGTTTTGACTATTAAGTTTCATACATTGTCAGTCTTGTACTCTTGTTATGTTCTTTCGAGGCTGGCTATTATTTGGGATCAAATATTTATGCATCAAGTGGCATACCATGTCCATTAAAGGTAAGCAAGGAACTAGTTATGTCCTAAGGCATAAACATTTTTTCATTAAAAGGAAGGCCATAAACATAAGATTAGTGCGAATGTTGCTGCTAACTATAACATGTGTTTTGATTCATTTCAACATAGGAAGTGAATGCTTGGCAATAATGTATAAACTTGTTTCTAGATGATAGAATTTCTTGATCATTATCTTTGTTAGTAATTGATGCGTATCTACTTATTTTCCATTTTATGTTAGAATTGCAAGCTGGATTCATATGTTCATTATTAATCTGTCACCCAATTATTTATTTTGCAGAAAGCAATCTGCAAGGACCCAACTGATTCAAAGGTTAGTATTGAACTACTCTTCATGTATCATTCGTTATTGTGTTAATTTTTTTAGAACTTTTTTTTTTGAGTCTATAATCTATATTTTCTTTCTGAAGGCACTAGGGGAAGAAAAGGAGATAAAATATTGAATTTTATTTAATATATATCAATATTTATTTATTTTCTAAAAAATGAAGAGTTGTTTCAACAATGACGCAATAGTCATATAAGCACTGTTGACTGGAAGTTGTTTTCTCGGGCGTAAATAATATGAATCTTATGATTCCAACGTTTATTGTAATCCTTTTTCTACATCCTATGTTTGAGTTGTTACTTGGATGATATGTGGTTTGTACTCTTTAATTGGGAGGGTCATGTCCTGTTGGAGTTCATGTTGCTGTAGTTGTGCATACTGAAAGGCTAGCATTGTGTTTCATTCTTCAGGGAAAACAATTTTTTTTGCAATATGGCGTTTGTGTTGGACATGAATGCCATTCTTCTTCTTGTTCTTGTTCTTGTTCTTCTTCTTATTCTTCTTCTTCTTCTATCAAGGTGGTTGTGTTAAACACCATTTTGTAATGGATGTTGACATGTCATTGTGTCCTTGATATGTGTTTCATGTTGCGGTATTTATCACATTCTAACATCTCACGGAGGTAGATGCCTAAACCTCGGGCCTAGGTTTAATTACAGACCAATAGGCATAGTCAAAATTTCATATGTGGTGGTGTAGTATGTTTGTACCTTAGGATTGATTGACATTTGTCATAGATTGGATATATTGATGATTCTAGTTTCCTACAATCTATAATACACTATGCTGAATGTTTTCTTTTCTTCTGCTTTTCTTATATATCTGATGTAGGAAGTTCCACCGCTTGATGTACCAGAACTTTTGGCATATTTAGTTAGACAATCTGGGCCATTCTTGGATCAAATTGGCGTTAGAAGAGGTAAGTAATTCTCTTGAGTTTTGATTTTGATCTTATAATGAAGTGATCAATAATATTTTGAACTTTATATTGATAAAATAAAGGTATATATATATATATATATTTATATATAGAAATACACATAGTTTAGCTGACCTTTAATCATTATGTACAAAGTAGCTGCCTTGTATTCACACTCACTACTTCAAGGTTATTAGGCCTGAATTTAAAACCACTATACCAATCGTCCCCTTTAAAGTACACCTACTTCAGTCCCAATTAATGGAATATATATATATGTTTGTCACGAGAATTTGTTTTGAGGATGATTGATGTAGTTTCATATATGTCATGTGACAAAATCTTTGCTTCACAACTTTAGATGGTCCTTTAGATAAGCTTTACTACACCAATTGAAACTAGTTTGCAATTCTTATGCAGAAGTAAAATTCAGGACTGCTGCCTTATGTAATACAGATGCCTTACAATTGAAGTTATCAGAAATGTGCTACGAATTTAAACACTAGAACTACATTACAAAATGGTTGTTTTCTTTATGAATGTATGATTGTCTGCTTTTTGCTATATTCTAGAACTGTCTGATGCTTTAAGAAAATAAACGATGTGGATTTGGTGTATAGAAAGATTCAGGGGAATAACTGACCTGTTGATTCCCCTTATTTAGATGGTTGGGTTATGTGAGTTCACAGGTATTAGATAAGCAGGCAACAAGTATCAAAACTTGAAATTTTTTATCTGGAACTGTCTTTGAGGGTCCGTTTGTGGTTTGCTTATTTATGTACACTGACAAAATCAGCTGGGAATGTGTTAGGCAAAGGTTGTTTAAAAAGTGCTACAATTGGGTCACATATAGAATTATAATTTTTGCTAGGGCCAAGTTTTAAAGTTAATATACTTCAATGCAAGTATTTTTTTTTATTTTTTATTTTTTTGTTGATAAATTCAATGCAAGTATCAGTGGGCCCAAAACAACCAATAAGCTAAGAAGCATGATTGGAGGTTCTTCTGAAAAAAGCTAACTTTTTGTTTAATTTGAAGTAAATCCACTTTAACCAAATGCCACAAATGGAGTTATCTTGGTTCTGGTGTGGTTTGACTCGGAAAATTTTAAATTGTTCCAATTGACAATATGGAAGCAGCGTGTCATTTGGAGGTCTGAAGGGCTGTTCTTATATTAAGTATTCCACATGCTATTTGTAATATCTGGTTTATTTTCAAGGAATAGTTCCATGGTTTATAGCATATAATCTCTATCAGTTAATTATTGACAAAAATGTTAGGACAACTACCAAGCATACCAACTAGACAAAATATTTGGTGAATCCCATACCAAGTGGTGGGACCTATGTACAAGCGCTCTGTTGGTATTTTTTTTTTTAGTGTTTCTAGCATTTTTGTATTATTGATATTTCAGATGTTTCTTATACTCCAATGTACTGAACTCAGACTAATCATGGATACTTGGGTTGAGGTTGGCAACATGGTTCCTCCTGCGTATGGTTGTTCTTAGAGTACACACACACACATATATATATACATATATTTTTTTTCAATTTTAGAATAACTATGTCCTTTCTCATGGTCTCAATTCTCATTTTTTTGTGTGTGTGTGTGTGTGTTTTTCTTCTGTCTTTGAGGCACCTATAACTTAGTTTCTGTTATTCCTTCTTGACAATATTTTATGCCTTCGTTGCTACTCTTAAACCATCCTGTGCTACTTCACCTCATATTGTCTATGCTTCGTGCTACTTGTAGCTCTAGAGAAATGTAGTCATTTCTTATTGTTGTGCTCCCCCTCCTGTCTGTGTCTGTGTCTATATCCTCATTTTTATATTTGCTTTTTATTGTCATCCAACATTTTGTACAGTATAGGATATGCCTTGCAGCAGTCTTATGGAGATTTTCCATAAATTCCTATCCAATTACATGACTGCTTCAGAAGCACTTCTCCTTATCATCCACTTGTTATAGCTTTAGGATCATAATGAGCTGGAGCTGGCACAAAGCCTGCTGGTTCAGCCTGGAACTGGTGTTAAGCGTTAAATAATTTGGGGTTGAGGCAAGATACGTGTGCTTGGCTTAATTAGATTTGGTTCAAATTAGAAAGTTACAATTGGTTCAATAAGGTGTGTTGGTGATGTACAAGAAAGCACTTAATTAATCTGAACATTATGGATTAGTTCTCTCTCTCTCTCCCCCCCTCCACCAGACAAAGTGAATCAAAAGCATAGCAAGCAAACCAAATTGCATGTGTGTTTTCGACAGCCCCCAAAATATCCGTCCATCATCAAGGTGAACTACCATTGTATCACCATCCTATTGTCTCCAATTAAACCACCATTAATAACATAATCAACGATAGGTCACTACTCACATTCATGTCTCTATTCTTTGCTACCTACACTGATAGAGGGCTCTTCCTTCTTTACACTAAATAAGTATGTATGTATCTCTCTCTACTTGCGTATATTGATAGAGGGCTCGTGCTTCTTTATACATGTAAATATATATATATATATATATGTATTTCGTTTCTGTTTTTTCTTTTTTTTTCCCCGCCTTCATATTTTAATGCTGTTTAATTGGATTTGCATAATTGATAGATTTTAGTGAGAAAATTTTTAATGGATTTTTTTTTTTTTTTTCATTTCTATTAATTTATGTTTACTACTTCTGGAGGGTAAATTCTTTTATTTTTTGGTATCTGTTTTGAGTCTTACCTTTTGAATTGTAATCTGAAAAAATTATTGTTAAGCTCAATGGTTGAAATTTCTTTCCATGGAAACTTGTTAAAAAATTATTTATTTTATTGATATTTTTCATTTGTGGAATAAAATAGTTGAATGAACTTTATATCTGGTCAGCAGGAGCTTGTCCTGTAGCTCATATAAGGGAACCAGTTGAGTTTGCAATAAAATTTCAATTTTGAAATCAACTGTGTCAAAGCTTAGGAGAGGTACTTTTTATTTTGGGCTTGGTGTAGAAAGGTTTTTCTTTATTTCCTTTGTTCCCATCAGTCACCTACAAAAAAAGTGATACCGACCTGACACTGGACAGTGAGGAAGGCGAGAACGGGTTAGGCAAAGAAGTCATTGGTGACTTGTTGCTTTATATATATATAATTCTATAAATTTTGTTTATGTGTTTGTATTTTTGTGGGAGATCAAAAGCCTCTACTGTGATGTCCTCAAGTGTTCTAACTATGATGGCAGATATATCCGACAAGATAGTGGAAAGCTTGTGCAGCAAACGCAAGAATCAACTTCTATTGCGTTCCATGCCTGGTGGAGAAACAACCATTCTTGAAGGCAATAGCATTGGTGATGAACTGGACTTAAGGATAGCCAGTGTTCTCCAAAGCACAGGGCATCATTATGAGGGAGGCTTTTGGTCCGATTCTTCGAAGCATGACTTGTCAAACAGGGAAAGGCACGTAGCTATTGTTACGACTGCCAGTCTTCCATGGATGACAGGAACAGCTGTAAATCCTCTGTTTCGAGCTGCATATTTATCGAAGTCTGCAAAACAAAAGGTCACATTGCTGGTTCCATGGCTTTGTCGATCAGACCAAGAACTAGTTTACCCGAACAATCTCACTTTTAGTTCACCTGAAGATCAGGAGGTTTATATTCGTAAATGGCTTGAGGAAAGGGTGGGTTTTAAGGCAGATTTCAATATCTCATTCTATCCAGGAAAGGTAATTTCGGAAGAAATACTATACTGTCTTATTTACTGTATGATGTTTTTCGCTATATCTAATATGCTGTATTTATTGTTTTAAGTTCTCAAAAGCAAGGCGGAGTATAATACCTACTGGAGATACATCTCAGTTCATTCCATCAAAGGATGCTGACATTGCTATCCTGGAAGAACCGGAACATCTCAATTGGTACCATCATGGTAAACGCTGGACTGATAAATTTAACCATGTCGTTGGTATTGTCCACACGAATTACTTAGAATACATCAAGAGGGAGAAGAATGGGGCTATTCAAGCTTTCCTTGTGAAACACATAAACAATTTGGTCGCAAGAGCATATTGCAACAAGGTACAAGTCTAACCCATTGGTATTATTATGATCCATGTTGTTCCTACTTCATCTATTGAGTGGTGAATTTTGGTAATAGATTCACCATGTCTCAAACGGTTTACATTTTATTTATAAACTGATTTTTTAATGTTCTGTCTAGGTTCTTCGGCTTTCCGCTGCCACCCAGGATTTGCCTAAGTCTGTAGTTTGCAATGTTCATGGTGTGAATCCCAAGTTTCTATTAATTGGTGAAAAAGTTGCTGCTGAAAGGGAGCGCGGGCAGATTGCCTTCACAAAAGGAGCATATTTCTTGGGCAAGATGGTTTGGGCAAAAGGATACAAGGAGCTGATAGATTTATTAGCAAAGCACAGGAACGACCTTGATGGCTTCAACTTGGATGTGTTTGGAAATGGAGAGGATGCTCATGAAGTTCAGACCACTGCTAAAAAGTTGGCTCTGAATCTCAACTTCATGAAAGGCAGAGACCATGCTGATGATTCTCTTCATGGGTAATGAACCTTTGAAATTCTCTTGATGAATTGGATTAGTTATTTTAGAAAATATTACCCTAAATACTAAGAAACATGGACATGTGACATGACATGGACATGACATTGACACGCCGACATGGAAATTTTCAAAAAATACAAGACATGGGGAACGCATGCTAAATAAATAGTTTTTTTATATTTATTATATGTTATTATATATAATATAAAGATAAATAATTATTATATATATATGAATATTTAAATCAAATATAATAATTTTTGAAGTCTCAGAAGGAAAGTAGATATAGTTTTAGATTATTTTTGCTTGATCATTGGATTCCAAGTTATTTTATCCAAACTTGTAGTGTGTTTCCATGTGTAAGTCTTGGAAAGTGTTAAATTTGTGTTGTGTCGTGTCGTGTCATCTTGGTGTCAGACACGTTATCTTTTTACAAGTGTCCATGTTTCTTAGCCTATAGATAAATGGCTAAAATTCTGCTCACAGAAATTCGAGATGACTTCTGCGCTGAATGCTGAGGTAATAGCTGATAGTAGCTTTGAACTTGACTGATTGTAAAATTCTCCATTTCTTGACATTCTTGTTTGTTTTTGTTTGCTTGTAGTTATAAGGTCTTCATAAATCCCAGTGTTAGCGATGTGCTCTGCACAGCCACAGCCGAGGCCCTAGCAATGGGGAAATTTGTGGTTTGTGCAGACCATCCATCAAATGAGTTCTTCAGGTCATTCCCCAACTGTTTGACTTACAAGACTCCCGAAGATTTTGTTGTGAAGGTGAAAGAAGCAATGGCTAATGAACCTCTACCACTCACTGCTGAACAAAGATACAACCTTTCATGGGAAGCTGCCACCCAGAGATTTATGGAGTATTCTGAGCTCAACAAAGTCTTGAATAATAATGATAAAGGTGATTCACAATCGAGCCAAACTAATGGAACAATTGTTGGAAAATTGGCTTCAACCCCTAGCTTGACGGATGTGGTTGATGGAGGGTTGGCATTTGCTCACTACTGCTTTACTGGGAATGAGTTGCTGAGGCTGTGCACGGGGGCAATACCTGGGACAAGGGACTATGACAAGAAGCATTGTAAAGATCTGCATCTCTTGCCTCCACAAGTAGAAAATCCTATATATGGCTGGTAAGTAGAAGAAGAATTATTCAACTGTATATGAGTAATCCTTACATATATAGTAATTGTTACATGTTATACATACTGGCTTGTCAATCTTGTTAGTACACAGTATGATGCTTTCCTGTTTGTAGCAAGATATCAACACGTACGTCGATAGTTGGAATCCAGTAGTTTTTTTTCTCTAGTAATACGTGCAAAAGTTTAAAATGCCTTGTCTAGTAATACATGTTTATACATTCTTGTTGAGCATTCATGAATCATGCTGAGCTAATTTATGCATTTCGTAAGAGAGTGAGTTCAATGAGCTGTTTGACAAGAAGAAAAAGGAGCTGAATTCATACCCGAGCTAATTTATGAGTTGCATAATATGATTGAATTGACATTTTCATGTCAATGAACTATTCAAGTGAACTTCCAAACGAATCAATCGCTAGTAAAAATCATGTGTCTTGGCATCTTTAAAAGTACGAGCCACAATGATGGTTAGGTGTTTTGGTTTAAAATGAGAGACGACATCATATCTATGAGAGTTTTGTGCAAAAATTATTATTGGTTAACATTACTCTTTATTATTTTTTTTGGCCATTTATGGAGGCAAAATTTTAAACCAATCCTGATGCATCCGAAGAAATTTCTTGCTCTCAAAGATGACTAAAATCTTTGTTGTTTGTTTAACTTGTTTGTATTTGTTTTTTCATTCTTCTTCGCTTAGCTCTTGGTATTATAAAAAGAGGACTGTTATATTACATTTTCTTTTTTTCACCCTTATGTGTCATTATTATTTGTTTTCATTAATATCTTAATAATTATCTCCAAACAAAAAAAATCAATCATAACTGTTCATGTAAGAGGGCAGTAACAAAAAATTGGTGAACATTTTTCTTATATTTATAGGAGTTACTAATTTAGTAGTTAAAATTTGAGTTATTAACTTTGAGATTAAAGATTCAAATATGAGGGTAAGTGTCAAAGATTAGATCTATGATCAAGAAATTTTTTTTCTTGGTGATCTATATTTAGGTGGTGCCTTATTGCTAAAAACATCACATGGTCATTACAATTAGTTTTATAACAAAAGGGCAGAGACAGAGCAGTATCAAGAAGACTAGCAGACAATATGTAGTGGCTATGTTTCAAGCCTGTGGTTCACCTGCAGCCTAATATTAATATATCCACACAAACATCCGCTATATTAATTATATATGTACTCTGTGTGTGTGTGTGTGTGTGTGTATATGTATGTGTGGTGATGGACTAAAGAGTTTATGATGATAAGAAGGTTATAAACATGTGGCTGCCATTTGCTAGAACATTTAGGCACTGGCCTTTCCAACAACTACTAAAATACTTTCATATACAATTCAGAGGTGGAAAGAACATGAAATGAAAGACTTTTTTTTTGAATATGACTACTGGAGTCTCCATGGGTGCAAACGTATCAGTTTTTGTCTTTTCAATATCAATACATTTTGGTATTGGTTAGTGTTCGATACCTATTTTGATACTCCTAATATTATTCGATATTGCTGATGCGTATCATTCAATACCATTAGGTCTTTAGATACCAATATCTAAAAGCATTAGGTCAAAGAAGACCTTTTGATGCTCACAAAATAAACTTACAAGAAGTCAAACAAAAAGGGTTAGTGAAGCCTCTACTAGCAATATTTTAACTACTCTTTATTATTACTCCTTGTGAAGATCTGTGAGAGAACCCACGTCCACAAACAATCTTCTTCATCACATGCTGCAAAGAAACTTCGTATACTTGTTAATGGGTATATGTATTTATTTATTTATTTTTTGGAAGGAAAAAAAAGATAAAGAGGGAGTGATAAGTACATGGGCAATTCGTTTTAGGTGTAATCATAAGAGCTTCTACCTATTGGAAAACTCAATATGAGAGCTGAAACAAGCCCACAAATGTGAAGTTAATGATAATTTACAGGGGCTCTCTCAAGACAATAAGTTGAATTACACACTCCCCTCGACGGTATAATGACAAAAAGCTAAACACATAAAATGAATGAAAATAAGTTTTGGTCCCATTGAGACCTCTGGTAAAACTCCAATTGACAACCAGGCCAATGCCTTCTTGCCATGTTTGATTGTAGGTTTGAAGAGGAAGAGTGGATTAATAATTTGCGGGTTCCATGAAAATCATGTTTGGTCGTGAAAAAATCACATGAGATTTGTAGCCCCATGCGATTATGAACCCCTTCAAATGGGTGGGATTAGCATTCCTAGAGGAGGAGAGTGTGATTACTAATTTTATCCCATAACATTGGAAGTGAAAATATTATTTTATTATGAGTTAACAAAAATAAACCAACTAGGCCTAGTCTAGTTGGCCACCATGCCTTCTTTAGGGTTTAGTTCCAAGGAAGTCATGGGTTCAATTCTCCTTAAGGGAGTTGAATTAAGGGAGTGCAAGCACTTAAGTGCTTTGCCGAGGGTGGAGAGATTTTCTCCCATAGATGTTAATCTAACAACTAATATTTGTCGATAAAAAAAAATGAGTTAACAAAAATAACAATTTTTTTTTTTTTTTTTTTTTTTATATAATGAAGACTTTTATATAACTTTATAAATTTAATTCGAACCAACTAATATATCACCATATGAGTTTTCAAACAAACACATTTTATTTTACATTTATAATTTAGGGCTGGTTTGGCATCACTAAAAAAATTTAAAAAGCCAAAAAATACTAAAAATGTAAAAAAATTCATACTATTTACCTCTTTCTTGACGGGAAATCTGTCAATTGAAAAAAAAAAAAAAAAAAAAAAGCAAAAAATGCAAAACAGTGCTGCACAAGACTGTGCAGCCACACATCCCAAGTCAATTGAAAACGTGGCACAAAGATGGAAGTGAATCTTCTTCAACACTATTTTAATAATTTCGTCATTTAATTACACCATACTTGTAAACTCAATGAAACTTGGTTGCGCAATCAAACACGGAAGTGAATCATCTTCAACACTATTTTGGTCCATCCGTAATTTAGCACTTGTTCAATAGTAAAAAAATATGATAATAATTAGCTGTTGAATTGTAACATTTGGATAAAATGTTGGATGCCTTTGAATGAAATCATGTATAATAACTGCACTAAAAAAGTGTTGGAGAGGATCCGGATCCATCAAAAGCCATCTTAGGATTCTTAGTGCAAGCACTTTATTTATTTATTAATCTCTTTTTAAATAGTCGGGTTCTTCATTTTGTTTGATTCCTTTGCCGTAATTTGTAGACCAAAGCACCATTTTGTGTTGAGAATCTATGTCTATAACTAACACTTGTAACATCATATTAAAATGTAAGCATGCAACACCCCTTCTTTTTTGGAGAAAAGGAGAGGACAAGATAACTTGAGAGAGAGATGTTGATTATGATATATAGCCTTTGTTTGGGATATGGGTTAGTTTTTTGACTTTTTAACTATTTTAGCCCAGAGCTAAAAAGTCTTGCTTGGGATTAGTTTTTTGGTTTTTTTTTTTAACTTTTGTAAGAGAAAAAATAAAATGATTATGGTTTGAATATGATGTTTTGTCTTATTGATTTTGTTGTGTGTCTATGTTGTCTCTTTGTGACTATTTTAATCCAAACATGGCATGCCAAACATAGCATAATCAATTTGTTTGTCATATATAAAGTTTTCCAAACAAAATGTTATTCTAAAGTAATGATCCAATCACTCATAAAAAATGCGACAATGCTACGTAGCTCAAATTTTGTGGCTCAAAAGTGGCTCAAATGGCCAAAACGACGTCGTTTTGAGTACAGAACAACATAAAAATGGCCAAAACGACGTCGTTTTGACCATTTGAGCCACTTTTGAGCCACAAAATTTGAGCTACGAGACATTTTCCTAAAAAATGGGGTCAAAATAAGATAATGGTGATAAAAATATGGAAAAATTCCCTATTTTTTCTACTGAAGTACTATTGAGTCCTTTTAATTATGGAAAAATTCCCTATTTTTTCTACTGAAGTACTATTGAGTCCTTTTAATAAATGAGTTAATCATATGTTAATAGGATTGAATGGTATTCTATTGGGAAATGTAGCACTTAATGAATATATTCTCAAAAAAAAATATTAAAACAAATTTGATGGTGGTGATGATTCTAAGACAAAGCATTTTTGAGCAGTGATTGGTAACTTTAAATTTGGAGCACCAAACCAACTCTAATGAGTTGGAAAATTAAAAAAAATAAAAATAAAATAACAAACAAACAAAAGGTCAAAAGATCCCATCATGTGGGACTCACACTCACATTAAAGCTATTAAAGCTCTTGGTTTAGAGGTCTGAAACATTTCTAATCATTTTTTTAATGTAGGGTTAGTACAAGAAACACAATCACAAGTTTGAGGATTTGACACTTGGATGAAGATTAAGGATTAGGATAATGGTCATGTTTGGTAGGGCTTATTTCAATTTTTAACTTAATTTAAGCTATTTTGATGTGTTTGATTCAACTTAACAATACAGTTTATAACTTTTTGTAAGTCAAAAATCAACTTATTCTTTGAGTGATAGAGGGGAAGCTTAATTTATAAGTCAAAAATCAGCTTATATTCACAGTTATAAGCTATAAATTGTTAAGGTATAAGATATAATTACTTTTCTACAGGTCTACCAAACAGGGCCAATGAATTGGTTAGTTGGACAAGGGCTTGCAGTTTTTTCAATATGATTTTTCATATTAAAAATCATTAGTTTCTTTGTGGGTTTGATTTATCTTTTTATGTTTGTGAACAATATCCAAGAAAATCTGTATCAACAAATCAAATTTTGTTTTTGTTTTTATTCTCCAATTGGTATTAGAGCATGGTGAACTTGATCAATAACAACTATGATTAGGAAATTTTGGTATGAAAGAGCTTGGTTTATAACGAATAAATAATTGGCAAGTTTTGGTATATATTAGGGACAAATAAATATTTGGCAAGTTTTGGTATATATTAGAGCTCTGAGCAGTAAAATTAACTTTGCAATAAATCCTTAACATTTATTTAATCATGATAAGGCAAATTTGGTTAAAATGTTTAGGCTTTTCTTAATTTTCTTTGGTAATTTTTATTTATTTATTTATTTATTTTGATCGGCAAAGAAAATCTTTATTGATGAAAACATTCAAGGTATGAAAAATTACATCAATAAAGAGGAGCTTGGAGCTATCATAAGCTTCAAGCGCCAGTTG